TGGAAAAGGGAGGCGGGGAGGAGGCAGAAATTTTTAATAAAAAAAAAGGTTTCCGTAATAAAATATAATGATTCAAAAAAAAGAATGAATAATTCTTATTTTTTCCAATGTTGCTTGTGTACTGTTTAGCTAGACACCAGAGGCAGCATTAAAGCAGAACTTGATCAAGCAGTATCTTTGATTACCTTGTCTGAATTCTTCCTTTTGTGCCTCCTGCCCTTGTGGCCTCATTTTATGCTGTAAGACATTCCTCCCATTCCTTATTTCATTCCTACAGTTCCCCACAGTTAGGGGGCCAAGAAACCTAGAAACCTGAGAGCTGTTCCCACTGTTGGATTCTGAGGTGGTTGGTGTTTTTTGTCAATTTGAGATCAACTGTAGTCGCCTGGGAATACCCAAATTTTCTTTGTTACGGTTGATGTGTGAAGGCTAAGCCCTCTGTGAGATGCGGCTCTGTTCAGATGGTTCTGATTATATGAAAAAGCAAGTTGAGCAAGTCAGTAAGCAGTCTTCCTCCACGATTTCTGCTTCAGTTCCTACCTCCATGTTCCGGCCTTGAGTTCCTGTACAGACTTCTCTCTTTGATGGATGTGACCTGAGGTATGGAAATCAAACTAAATTCTTTCCCAAGTTCTTATGGTTTTGGTGTTCATCACAGCACTAGGAAACAAACTAGAAAGGGCCCTTACCTTCAGAGGTGGACACAGTGGTCATGGTGTCCAGGATTAAGGTGAACTGGTGGTGCAGGTGCTAAACCCAAGAGATGTAGACAGATCCAGCTCACATCTGGAGGGCCATAGCCTCTATAAGATTTTTTTTTTCTATTACACTTGTGTTTCTGTAGAGTGTGTGTGTGTGTGTGTGTGTGTATGCAAAGGTTACTGCGTGTATACGGAGGTTGGAGGACCAGCTGGAGGAGTCAGTTGCCTCTTTCCACTGCTACAATCCAGTGGTCTTGATCAGGGTTGCTTTCTCTGCCAGTTAAATAATTAAATGTGAGGGGGAAAAATCTCAAGCATGACAGATAGGAAAGGAGAAACCTTAAACACCACAAACAGAGCAGTAGAAACCCTGACTAAGACACCATTCTAACATCCCCTAGTTCTTAGAGTCTTCCCACCCCCACTAATGTTTAGGGAGGACAAGAGATTAAGCAGGCACACAAGTATAGTCTTCTCACCCCAGAGGCAGGTTCTAGATTAGTATTTTTAAGGATACAGTCTGTAAGGCACTTCATGGAAGCTTCTGGGTGATTTCTTGGATCTGATCCTGTCTTGAGAGATACCCTGCATCAGAAAGGCAAGGAAGTGGAGCACCAGATCAAGGAGTAGTTATTATTCCTTTAAAAACGGTGGGGGTGGGGTGTGTGGACGAACACAGGATAGATGAGACACGCGCAAAAGGAAGAGACGGGACACGCGGCTCCCACGTGGGTGCACTTTAATGGGGAGAGGGAAACACGATAAGGGATGGGGTGTGCGAGACACACAAGGGGCCAGAGAGGGGTGAGAGAGAGAGAGAGCGCGAGACCTCATGGAAGCTCGCTTTTAACGGGAAGCGCAAGGTTATCTGGGAGACCTGCACCTGGGCACGCCCGCGCGCACAGGTGTCGGTAATCCAGGAGGAGTCTGGGAGCTGTAGTTTCCAAGGAATAACAGTAGTCAAGGTAATTCTACTTAGGGTTGATAGAAGAGGCTACCTTACTTCTCGAAGGGTGTAGTAGGGATCTTGGATGTGGAGAGTCTGCAAAAGCCAGTGCCAAAGCCTAGATGTGGGTTTTTCATTCCATCCCGATTGAGGAACCAATGGCATAACTGTTCAGAGGAGACAGGATGCAGGAGTGTAAGGTGTGCTGCAATGCCTTGGTCTATTGCCTCACTATCAGCAAAAAAGTCATTTTACAATCTGGGAATGGTCAGGGAGGGAGGAAGGAATGCGAGCACAAAGAATACCCCTGATTGTTATAACCTCATTAAGGATAGCTTCCTGTTTAAACAGGAAGGTCTGTAGAAACCTGAGAATTGAATGCTGTTTTTGTAATAATATATTTGATTAATTCTTTGAGAATTTTATAGAATATATTTTGATCATATTCATACCAATTCATTTTACCAGCTCACACAGATCCAGCCCCCATTGTCCTCTCTCCTTCCTTTTAATTTTTAATATTGATGCAAAAACACTCAATAAAATACTGGTAAATAAAATCCAAGAACACATTAAAAAATCATCTACCATGATCAAGCTGGCTTCATTCCAGAGATACAGGGATAGTTCAACATACAAAAAAAAAATCTACCAATGTAATCCACTATATAAAAAAAACTGAAAGAAAAAAAGTGATATGATCATCCCATTAGATGCTGAAAAATCATTTGACAAAATCCAACACCCCTTCATGATAAAGATCTTGGAAAGATCAGGGGTATAAGGAACACCTAAATATAATAAAAGTACCATACAGCAAGCCAACAGCCAATATTGAATTAAATGGAGAGAAACTCAAAGTGATTCCACTAAAATCAGGAATAAGACAAGGCTGTCCACTCTATCCATATAGTTTTTGAAGTTCTAGATAAAGCAATAAGACAACAAAAGGAGATCAAGGGGATACAAATAGGAAAGGAAGAAGCCAAACTCTCACTATTTGTGGATTATATGATAGTTTATATAAGCAACTCCAAAAATCCTACCAGGGAACTCCTACAGCTGATAAACACTTTCAGTAATGTAGAAGGATACAAAACCAATTAAAAAAAATCAATAACCTTCCTATATACAAGTGATAAAGAAGCTGCAAAAGAAATCAGAGAAACATCACCCTTTACAATAGCCACAAATAACAAAATATTTTGGGGTAATCCCAGGGAGATCCATGCATTCCAAAAATGGAAAAATCTAGGTAAGTAAACAAGAATTGAGCTTTTGAGAAAGTGAGGAGAATGGAAAGGCTGTGGGAAGGGGGAGGGGAGGGGATGAAGCTGGCCTTCCAAAGCCCCTGCAAGGGAAAATCTACTATGGGTCAACTTGGAATCAATTGGTAGGACTGGAGGAGCAAGGCAGAGGGAATTGTTTGTGTCTGTTGGAGTAGGGTCAAAGTTCAAATTGTTTTACTTTTCAGAGTTCCATCTGTTATGGTACCACTTTACTTATTTAAAATTCATTTAAAGTTTGTGAAGAAGCTTATAGGGCACTCATAAACACATTTAAAGAGGTAGATCTGTGCATTACAGGATCTGTCCATGGGAATCCAGGAGTTTTAGCAATACTTTTCAAGGCTTATACAGAAAATATAGGAAATGGGCAGCAAAGACTGAGCTGGATAGTAGAAATAAGAAAGTGAAAATGAAAGAAGTGACTAACTGGGTATCCGGATTTGATTTCATTGGGCACACTGTACAGCTTTTGAAATTTTTTCTTCCTTTTCTGTTGGTCAGACAGTTGATTTTCATTTGCAAACGAGAGTCTGATGATTTATCCGAGAGGAGAACATTTTCTTTTATTTCATCGTCTGTCTAATGAATTCCCCTGGCAAAGCACAAGGTTATAACATGTATGTATGTGTACTTGCCGGCGAACGACCTAGATTTGAAATCCAGTCCCAACTATGTGACCTTTGGTTTTCATTTAACTTCTCAATTACAATGACTATCTTTGTTTAATGAAAATGAGGAATTGTTTTAGGGTTCAAGCAAATCTATGTGAAAGATTTTAAAGTACTCACTTTCATAGTTCATGACTTGTGTAAGATAAAAGCTCAGATTTGAATACATTTCAAAGTTTAGAGCAACGTCTTTCTCTGTCATTAATTACTGTATATCAACACGGCTTTCTCTCACTTTTAAAAAATGATCCTAATATCATACTTAAAGTTTTATACAAAGTAAGGTATGTAATCAAGCTTGATCCATGACACATGTTCTGTCTATTTTAGGCAATATAACCAATTGAAATAATCTGGATTGAAACTCTTGTTGATTTGATCTTCTGGTGATAGCCTTTAGTTCTGGTAGTTCCATGGTTTTATTTGCGCCTGTACCTTACTATTTTACTAAGCAGCAGTGTTTGGCTTTGTGTTTCCTGGTGGCACCATTTAGACAGACACTACATACATTGTGAGTGTGTGCTGGCGCCGCAGAATTTGGTGGCCCCTTTGAGTAAGGTAAATATTTTATTGGTATATATGTGGAAATTTATTTTAAAAAGATACTCCTCCAAAGAACCAATTGAGCACACCAAAGCCTTTTTCCTGACTATTCAGATTCATTAAATACATTAACAAAGGCAATTGATTTCTGTTACCAAAATTTATGGTAATTTTAGAATTGGGTGATTTTTTTTATTTCAAGAAAAGCATATTTTATAATATTGTCTGCTGCAGTGACAGCAAGGGGAAACTTACCTGTGCCATTTATGATTTCTGTCCTGATTGTCAAATTTTGTTTTAGGTTGTCATTTTAGCATCAAGCCATGTCTTCCTAGTATTACCGCATTTCTACAGCTGCCCGATCGTCATAGCTAAGCACAGAAGTCACTTAGCTGAAGGCTTTCACCCCAGGTTACAGCTTTCTTTGTTGTGTTGTTGGGGTTGGAACCCTGCTTCAGGCTTTCGAGATGAATGTTCTATGACTGAGCTACATTCCAGCCCTGGGGACCATTAGGTCAACCCGCTACATACTTCTCTTAGTAACCTGAGCTTTGTTTCAGAGGCACTTACGGTGGTGCAGAACAGCGCTACGCTTTCTAGCCCCCACGTTAGGGAGTATTAAAGGCAACTGGAAATTATGCTTAATTCGTATTCAAGAAAAGCTTCACATTTATCTTGCAAAATTAAATTGAGAAGAAGGATTTTTTTAGTAACAGATAGAGTTATTTATAATCACTTTATTTCTTTTTTAAAATACATATGAAACAATAAAATTATATTTCAAGTGCTTTTCCATTTCTTTTACAAAAGTAATTATGAACTACCCTTCATAACAACTTTGAGGTTTCTTTGTTACATAATTCATCTGATCCTGACAAATATGTTCGTACACTCTAAAGAAGACAGGAAAAAATACCAAAATACAATGTGTAACACCTTTTCAGAGGGTTTACAGAAACACCTGCTCGAAGGAATATGATTATAAGATGTCAAGATTTGCAAATGACTGGTCACCATGTACAAAGTCAGAGATGTGAATTTCAAGACTTTAGTTTCTGTTCTATAATGTAGAAGTCAAAGATACTGACTTAAACAATGGCTAAGTATGAAATCACAAACTTCACTTGAAAAGTTACATTAAGAACAACGACTTAAAGGTATTGAAAAAAGATGAACTATGGTGGATTCAAATTGCCTGAGGCTCTGTGGGAAGAAGAGGACTAGCAGGTCTTATCAGTATACATGGCCACTATCAACTTGTAAGGGAGTTAGAGGAAACATCATGTTTATGACGGAAGCCAGTTTTTTTTTCTAGTTCGACTTATCTTAATTCTGAATTCACAGTGTTCTGTGATTTCTCCGTCTCTGAATGTGAACCCCATCTTTGCTCTGTTGGGTTAATAACAGCTAATGTTGGCAACCTGCATGTTGTACTCTTTGTTTAAGGAACAAGCTAGAAATGCAAATATTTTACATATTGGAGTTTTGCCTGCTTCTCCTTGATGCAGTGAGCTCTTCATGTTGATACTACTAAATTCTTTAAATGCAAAGCTTAAAGGACTCTACAAGAAAAACAGCGAATCTTAATGAAACCTATGAGATAATTTACATAAGTATTTATAGAGGATGACAATTGTGTTGTTTTACATAATCTTGGGGAAAGCAGTTATTAGGAGTGTGCAAAGTTTTCAGCAAATCATGGAAAGATATAATTCCCTGTCTTAATGCTCAGATGAGGCACACAAGAAGCAATATGGCAAGCCTTAGCGAATCTATCCATTTTATACATTAACTTTGCAACATCAAAACTTATTCTTAGTGAATTTTGACTCATATCTGTAAATTGCATCAGTATTCAGTAATTTATTTTCAAGAAACAAAATCCTCATGAGATTGGATAATTAAAACTCAGTCATATGTTCAGTAAGTATGACATTCTGTGCACAGTGGGTGTAACTCAACAGAACATCAGAAGACAATGGTTTACTTTTACCCTCTGTGATAAAATCAGACGTAGTGTCAGTGTTTGGAAAGGGTCTCATGGTCTACATCAAAAATTATTATAGGCTTGAGATTAAAATATTTCCATATAAATATATCAAGAGCAACTCGTATTTCTCATCACAATAGAGATTAAAAATAGGATTTATATAAATAGTTCCCTCTGGGAGGAGTGTATCGAATCATCTCAGACATACAAAATACTATCATTTCTTTTAAACATCTTTTACTTATTTTTTCTCAGTCACTGCTTTTTAGTATTCAAATATTTTCATTACGTAAATCATTAAGGCTTACCTTGGTCCTTAATTGAATGATTCTCTCTCTCTCTCTCTTTAGCACAGCACTACCATGCTACCAAATCAAACTTATTGTAGTTCCTTAATAGACATGATGAAAGGAAAATATCAATTTAACTGCATTTTAATAAAAATGCATTTTAATAAAAATGCAGTTAAATGCATTTTGATCAAACGAGAATGCATTTTGATCAAATATGCAGGGCCACTCTTCAAATACATCTTTTTGATTAACATTAATGGTTGATTATAAGTAGCTACCTTAATCTTAACTGACAGATTATCGGATAAATATTGATCTTTTAATGAAAGAAAATTCTTAGTTAATAGAATACCTAAGAGATAATGTTTTGGAAATAGCATTTTACTTAATTATCTCTTTTCCCCATGTAAAGTATTAAAACTCATTTTTCTCCTTAATACTAGGTCTTTACGGCAGGTTCAGATAAATGGTATCCTGAACCTTGTCTCTGAGTAATTATTAAATGCTAAGTTATGGAGTTTTGGAACATTATTTGAGAATTTATTGCCCACTGAAACTTAAAATACAAAAGAGTTCCTTTTTTACGATACCTCAATATCTTTGTTTCCTATGCTTTAATATCTTTTTCACTACCCATATGGTTTCTTTAAATTATCTCATTTTCAGGTTTTTAAAAATCTACTTGCTGACAACAGTACACTTTTAGTCTAAAAACGACAAGCATTGAAACCAGCTCGGTCATCTCAGAAAAACTGTAATTGCTAGAAGACCAAGTTGTGACACAAGGTCATGCTTTCTTTACGTTTAACAAAGATGCCGAGTGGTTACCCAAGGCCATACCAACCCAGTTTTCTAACTATTTGCAGTTAAACTGGTTGGTAATATCTCAGCTATTATAACAAAAAATCAGACAAATTCTGCTCAAGAATATATCAAGTAGTCTTTTCTGAAGAGGTAGAAAGAAATTGGTGTGTGTTCAATGTTATGATTTTATGTTCCTTTATTGTAGTGATTCCTGGCTGCTTGGACATCTCATTTTGGAATAAATTATGATTTGCTTTATAGATAGTAATGATGGCAGTGGAATGGAATTCTGACTTATTTTTACTTTTGAAGTAGCTCCTGAATGAAAGCTTCAAGAGACTGAGTGTTTCTTACTGAGCCTGGAAATTTTTAAAAGAATAAACACTACAAAAGAACACTCATAGTTGTGAGTATCAATTAACGATCACAACCAAATCTCTCAGATACATTTGCTCTACTATAAACCCTGAGTCAGTATTGATTGCTTGTGAGCTCCCTGCAGTGACTAATATGTGCACACACCACAAAACTATATGACGGTGCATGACTGGCTCCGCTTCCTCCCATTACTTCCCTGGCGTTTGTCCTAACATTTGGTACTGAACTGAGTGTCTATGAACATGGTGAGTTTTACATGTGAGGTACCAGCAACACAGGGTGGCCTGAAAAAGCAATCAATAACCAGTGAGAAAAATGCATTAGGAAGCAGATGATCGTACCTGGACCTTTTGACTAAAATCTAATGTAGGACACCAATGAGGAACAAATCAAAATCGCAAACGAATCGGCTGCTGGATTTGTGAAAGGAGGGTGCACTAGACACATACTGGTGTCTTCATGTTCAGTGTACTTAGCAACTGCGCTGTCAGGCCCACAAGGCGACACTGAATCTTTTTCCCTAGATGCATATGTTGGTGAGTCCCTGAATGCATCCCTGAAATCGGGAATTTATTGTATACCTAAATTACAGCTTCATGCTGCATCAACCCGCACATACCATCCCACAGGCTAGTGGAGGGCGTCTGCAACACTGACCCGTATTTAAACGCTGAGAAACTAACAGTACCTCACAAGCAGAGAGAAGGTTCTGTGCTTGGAAGGGGAGGATGAGGGGGCGTTGCATAAGACACATAAGGATTGTTTTTTTCTCAGCACGAACTGTCGTTCTAATGAATTTGTGCAGTACTCTGAGAGAAAACTCTCACACATTAGCTGAAAGTTGTGAAATTTCTCTCTTTAATCTCTTTCCTAGGTTGAGCAAATGCTTTGACGTACTTCTCATGAGAAATAAATGACTTAATTCTCGTGTAATTTTGCATTTAATTTTTTTTCCAATCTAATTTTCATCTACTTGCCTCCTATTTAAAATATTCTGGTTACCTGACAGTTCCCTTTTGTTCCTCGGAAGGTTTAGCCTGTTCTCTTTAGGAAGTTAGCTGTGATCTTGCCAGGAGTAAGTCTATAAGATATCATTTTGAATGAAAATGCATACACCACCTACTTAAGAAATGTCACAGCTATATCTACTGCTAAAGTATCTCCCTAAATGTTAGCACACTAGGATTCTAGCGTTTTCTTTCCATCTAACAGCTATTATTTTACAGTGAAACAAAGACTTCAAGATTAGTTGTCATCTTGAGTCTCCCAGTCTGCCACAAGTAGGGTTTGTTTCTGTTTGTTTGTGTGTTTTGACTTGACAGGAGAGTCAAGTGTTTTCAGACATATTTCTCTTATTTTTAATGAGAAAAAGCTTAGTATTATTTTTACATTATCTTGACATAGGCATTTTTGAAAAGTTTTAGGCAGAACTGAGTTTACACCGAGAATATTAATGTGTGATGTGTTTTCATTCTAGTTAACAGTAATTGAATCTTGATGAGAGAAATTCAAGACTTTTAAATATATTTCCTAATATTTGAAATAAGGGATTTTACAAATATAAAAACTTCATTGTCTAAAACTTTCTCATCCTAATTAACTTGTTTTAAAATTCCAAATACAAATTTTCTTCCTTTTAAAAAACCTTATTGTGGAATAAACTTTAAATACGCACACTTCGAAAGTAAGGTTAATTTCATACAGTTTCCGTCCAGTGGGGTCTTAAAATGAGACAATAAAAAGCTGGCCTGATTTCAAAGAAAGTTCTCTTGTAAACAAAAAAGCATTTGCATAGTTTTTTCCTCTAATGGTTTGATTAATTAATCTGTTTGAAAGTCAATGGCTGGCTATCTAATCCTTTGGAATATGTTTGTTTGTATTAAGTGTGAAAGTTGTACTGTTTGTAACATGCATCTATAGTTTGTTGAACAAGTCATGCTTTCCTTGAGACTCTCCACTCCAGTGAGATCCTGAGTGGGTGGAGTCATCACCTGTCTATCTAAAAGACCATGGCACTGAGAGCGGCTGGACTTTTGGTTTCTGTTAAGTGCGATCCATCAAAATCATGGGAGCACACGGCAGCTTCATGTCACAGAACAGACACACCACAGTACGGGAGAACCTTGAAAGATGAAGTTATGACTGTAGCCTCTTAGGGTGGATACCAATGCTACCCTTGAGGTGAAGACGACTAGAAGTTTCAGAACTAGCAACTAAGCATTATAGCAGGTGTCTGGACTACTGTTGACAACCTGCTACTCAATGTCACTTTGTATATTTATATTCAAAGTGAGTTTTCATTTTTGCAGCTTAGCTGAGGGCCCCAAATAAGAAGCTTGAGGGATAAACCCCAATGACAAAAATGATGATTGCGAAGGAAAACTCTATTATCATACAAGTGACATTAATTAGAACTTGAAGGAGTTGATCCTGTGGAATTAATTTAAATGTGTTCATTAAAGTTTACATAAAGCCTGTACATCTGGAAATGATAGATTTTACTATTTCATACAACACAGGCATAAACTATATTTAATTTTACACACAACTGGGTTCTCTTGTCAAATAACTTATTTCTTTGTTTAAGCAAAGAATTAAAACATATTAAAACACGGTGCTAATAAATGACATGAAATATAAAATACCTTATATAACTAAGGACTATTAGTACTCAGATAAAATGCATTGATATGCTCAAAGTTAAAAACAGAAATAAACCAAGAGGTAAAACAAACAGAAATTATACAACAAGTTATTCATTATCATGGGTATATTTTAAATGAAGAAGTCAAATGTTCTGTGTCTGTGTATATCTGATTCGATGAGCACATGATTCTAGGTCTTTCTGTGACGTGGTTTTATTTGGAGGCTTTATGGTGTGGATGGTAGTCTTGGAGAAGAACAGGATCCTTGACTATCAAAGCTGGTTGCCCGGCCAGGTAACTGAAAGATAGGAATTTCAATCTGATCCAATGACGGCAAAGCATATAATGACAATCGTCTCTCTCTCTCTCTCTCTCTCTCTCTCTCTCTCTCTCTCTCTCTCTCTCTCTCTCTCTCTTTTTTTCTCTTTTAATAGTGATTTTCATGCACAATTTGTAAATCTCTGAAGATAAGATTTCTGTAACCTCCACACTCTTCAGAACTTACCTTCTAAGGCAGAGAGAGAAAACGCAAACATTTCCTGTAACACACACTGTTTGAAGCATAGAACGTACACAGAACAGTGTCTCACTGCTCCTTTTACGGCTTTAGAAGGGTCCCACACTTTATAGGAGGCGCTTAGGTTTCTTTCTGTAATATTACTTATTATAGTGCAAGGTAAGAGCAGCAAGAAATTGTAGACACCAATGACTTATGATAATCTGAATGAGAAATGGCTCCCATAGGCTCCTAAATTTGAGGACTGTTTGGGAAGCTTATGGAACCATTGGAAGGGATAGCCTTGTTGGGTGAACTTTGAGGTTTACACCCTTAGTGCCCCTCTTCACATTTGTTCTGTTTCCTGTTTGTGGATAGAAACAGGCTCTCTCTGCTTCCTTCCATGGCCTCCTGCCACTACGCTTCTCCACCATATGGATATTCCTTTGGAACCATAAGCCAAAAAGAGCTGTCTTCCAGAGATCACTTCTGGTCTTTGTATTTTATTACAGCAACAAACTGTAACACTAATTCAAGGCTGTGTTCCTTTTTCTTTTAAGTAGGAGGGAATTTTCATCTGTGGAATTCATAAATGGGAAGGCCAGCTTGTCAGGTGGCAACCCCAATGACAAGGGTAAGTCTCATGATCCTTAGATATCTATATTTTGAGAGTTTAATGAAGTTTGATTAATGAAGTTGAAATAAGTAGATTTTTTTCTAAGTGAGGCTTTCACCTCTGTTTACCAACTTACTCAGCTCTTGAATAACTAGTACTTTCTCATTTATTCCTTCTCTAACAAGAAAAAATATAATTTCACTCTTCATTTTCCTGTAGTGCTAAATTCAGGCTGTGCATATGTCTCTGGTCCATACAATCTGTTTGTCTACTAAATAAAGACATAGGGGATGAAAAAAAGATACGTGTAGAGGAAAGCACACTTGTCTTTTAATGCCAGTTGTCCCTGATCCAGTTACTAGAAAACTATCTGTGATCGAATGCCATGCTATGTCCTGTGTTCTTATGTGTCTTTTGCTACATAGGAACTGATGGGGGACTGAAAAAGATGACGTTAGAGACTCTGAAACAAAAGCGAGAGAATTGTTTTGAAAGGTAAATAAGGGAAATGTCAAATGAAAGTTAGCAGGTAAAAACAAAATATTTAAGTAACAGCAATATAACTGAGGGCAGAGGCAGCACCCACATCCTTACCTCCAGCAGGGGGTGCCAGTGTGTGATCGGTTTCCGGTGGTAGGCCAGCATTTCGTTCCAGTGGTCTCGCCCAAGACCCTCAGCGTCTAGTCCAGTTCGACACACGCCTATGACCTCATTGTGCCCCACCCTAGGATTTGTGGAATATCATACTTTCACTGTCAGAATTCAAAGGTAAGTGGAATGTTCCACATTTCAGTACAGTTTTTTAACACATCATCAAAATCAGCAGATTCTACATGCTATGGTGGTCTCCAGACCCAGATCTTACTTTTGTACTTTCAGTGATCCATGGGCAGTCACTGTTTGAAAATATCAAATGAAAAGTTCTAGAAACAAATAACACATCAATATTAAATAATGCTTTATATAGTAGCTTGTTATAATTGTCCTATTTTATTATTTGTTACTTGTCACTGGCAATCTCGTACACAATTTATAAAGCAGACTTTCTGAAGATCTGTACATGTAGGAAGAACAGAATACATGGAGCTCACCACTGTCTTTGTTTTCCATAACCTATGGAACATGATAGAACATATTCCCTATAGAGAAGGGATTATTGTGTAGCAGTTTAGAGTAAATGAAAATTTCTAAATAAAAATTAAGTAGGCCAGGTGTGGGGTTTGGCTGAGAGGTGGAGACATGAAGATCAGAAGTTCAAGTTCATCATTATTTACAGAGAAAGTTTTGAGGCCAGCCTGGGGTACATGGGATCTTGTCTCAAAACCAACCAACCAACCAACCAACCAACCAACCAACCAATCAACCAACCAACCAGACCAGACCAAAAAAAAAAAAAAAGGCCCAGAGATAATTAACTAAATAATATCAACATACAAAATGAATTTACATATAAAAGACTCATAAACCTATGCAATGTTGACAAGGAAAGTGTGTGTCTGGGACACCAACAGACCCCTCACTTCTACAACGCTGCTTTCTGGGATGCAGTCCTACCCAACCCCCACACTGTCAGGAGAAACCCTACTCTTTTCACAAGCCTTGCTCTGTGATAGTGCTTAGACTGTATGGCAGGAGGACAGTGCTCACTTTCTGGCATAACAGTCTCTATTTTACTGACTAAATTATATGCGTGAGTGCGCTATTGCTGGCAGTATAATTAAGGGGGGTAGGACTGTGTTTAGTCCCACCACTATGATTTATCACTGCATAACAAAGCATACCATTTGACATTACTATTTTCTATTTATGCCCCACTTTCACTGCAACCAATAAAAATGATAGCTAATATTTATTTTTACTTTTTTATTTTTGATATTAAAATATAATTATACTGTATTTCCATATCCCCCTTTCTCTCTCCAAACAGGCTCAGAGACTGTTCTCTCTCCTTCACATTCATGGCCTCTTTTTCTCATTAATTGCTATTGTATGTACATAGGTATATGTTCAGGCATATGCATTCCTAAATATAAGCTCTTCAGTCTGTATAATGTTACTCGTATGTATGTTTCCAGGGCTGACCATTTGGCATTGGATGACCTATTGGCGTGCTTTTCCCTGAAGAAGACCACCTCTCCTGCTCCCAGAATTTCTCAGTCACCTGTTGTTCTTTGTGTAGGGTTGGGGCCTTGTAGTATTTTCTTTATCCTCTTGGGCTTGTCAGTTGATGCAGTCCTTGTTCAGCTCACATTTATGCAGTCACGTTGGTGATATTTCATGGGTGTAGCTTCTGCCATTACTAGGAGACAGTCTCACAGCAAACTCCCTGACTCTCTGGCTCTTGTAATCTTTCTACCTGCTCTTCTGCAATGTTTCCTGAGCCTTAGGCATGGAAGTGTTCTGTAGATGTATCCATTTGGACTGGGGATAACTAATATTTTTTGAGAGTTCACTATGTAAAGATAGTTTTTTCCCCCAAGCATTTTAACATAATTAATCCTGAGCCTGTGACTCTCACTCTGGGTAACATTATTATCATCTCATTTCATAACAAACTGGAGGCCCAGAAGAGTCAATGGTGGAAGCTGGGTCCCATCAGGAAAGTCAAGACAGCACCTGGCATGCTGGGCTTCTTTCTTTTTAATCTTTTTGAAGCCAGGTCTTATGCAGCCCAGGCTGCCCTCAGACGTACTATGTAGCTGAACTGAGCCTCCTGCCTGCTCCCCCTGAGTGTTAAGCTTACATGTCTCTGCCATCCCAACTTTCTTCAAAAGCCGGTTCTTGAAACAGAATGTAATATGAAAGAATCTGAAATACTTTCTACAGAATCATTTAGATCTCTGAGGAGGCTTTGGGGGTAATTCGAGGATGCTCCAGTATGTTTTTCTGGTCTTCTCCTATGTAAATTCATGGCACTATGAAGTTTTCCAACAAGCATATTTATAGGAATAATTTTTATCTTACTGATTTATGTGGCATTAATATTTATTTCCTTAACATTGGGTTGATGACATGCTTAGCTGTACCTACTCAAACTCACTGCTTTTTTTTTTTTTTTTAAACTCACTGCTTTGAATAGTCAATAGGGGTAGGTGTTAAAGCAAAATAGGGCTATTCATGAAAACATTTATAGAGTGTTTAACATTTGAAGAATGGGATAATTCAAGATTTTTCTACTACTGAAAAGTTATCACAGATCCTTTTCCTTTAATATAAATTCAAGTAGACCAGAAAATATTAATTTATTTATTTATATTTTTAGGGGCTGGCTTTGAGACACTATCCTACCACTCCTCCTAGTCCAATGAGTATTCTTTTAAGCATTTTATATTCATGTTCTACACAAGTGGTAGAGTTATCAAAAGCAATGTATAAAAGCATTGAGCTGATCACCATGCATCTTCCAGTTCCATTATCACCCCACGTTCCACAGCATGTTAACAGTTTCCCAGTGGAGAAGGTGAATCCCAAAGACATGCTGGCCTTCAAAGCCAATTCGTTATAGAGTTGGGGTGAGCATCACTATCCTTGTGTGGTAGCCCCTCTAGTGAAGTCAACTCTGGACTGCAGTGCTTGTTATTCTGAAGAAAAGGTCCTCACCAACCCTACATCTAAATAGTTCTTCATACTCCTTGCGGACCTTTCTTCAGCCTCAGGTGAATGTTAAGAAAGACTGCTTTGGAGGTGAAAACAAAAGAAAACTATAAGTATAGATTCTCATGCATCATTGCCCTGTTTTTATTTCAAGTGAGATCTGCTGTAACAGTGAGTAACCTGGAAAGCAGATGTGACCTGGCTATGACAACTTGAAGATCTGCATCGGGGCCAGCAGCCTCCACCCACCTGTCATAATCCATGACGGCAATGCACAGGCTGACCTGGTCCACATTCTCCGGAGGGATGTCGAAAATAATGGCTTCATTGTACACAGGATTGAGAGTGTTTTTCTTTGTAGTCGTTTTCCGTTTCTTAAGTCGTCGGCCCTCACACATCAAAGACACTTTGACATAAGGATCTGTGAGAAGGGAGATAATTTTATTAAAATTAAAGCATTCATGCTATGCACAAAACACCATATTTAATTTTTACTAAATAAGAAAGTGTGTGTGAAAAAAAACAAAAACCCAGGATAGCTCAAACAATCCTGTATAGTAAAGGGACTTTCAGAGGCATCACCATCCTTGACTTCAAGCTCTACTATAAAGCTATAGTAATAAAAACAACTTGGTATTGGCATGAAAACAGACATGTGGGTCAGTGGAATAGAATCAAAGGCTGTGATTTAAATCCACACACCTATGAACACCTGTTTTTTTTTTTTACAAAGAAGCCAAATTATACAAAGAAAAAAAGCATCTTTAACAAATGGTGCTTGTATAATCATGTTAACATGTAGAAGAATGCAAATAAATTCATATCTATCACCCTGTACAAAACCCAGGTCCAAGTGGATCAAAGACCTCAACACAGATCCAGTTACACTGAACCTGACAGAAGAGAAAGTGAGAATGTAGCCTTGAATGCTTTAGCACAGGAGATAATTTCCTAAATATAACACCAGTAACACAGACACTGAGATCGATAATTAATAAACGGGACCTCCTGAAACTGAAAAGCTTCCATAAGGCAAAGGACATTGTCAATAAGACAAAATGGCAGCCTAGTGTGTGAGAAAAGATCCTCACCAACCTCACATCTGACAGAGGGCTAATGTCCAAAATATATAAAGAACTCAAGAAGATAAACATCAAAATGTCAAATAATCCAATTTAAAAAACAGATCTAAACAGATAATTCTCAATAGAAGATTCTCAAACAGTGAAAGACACTTAAAGAATTGCTCAACATCCTTAGTCATCAGGAACTGCATATCAAAATGACTCTGAGATACCATCTTATACCAATCAGAATGGGTAAGATCAAAAACACTGATAATAGTTTCTGTAGAAGAGGATGTGGAATAAGGGGAACACTCCTCCACTGCTGATGGAAGTACAAACTTGTATAGCCAATTTGGAAATTAGTATGGTGGTTTCTTAGAAAATTTGGAATCAATCTACCTCAAGACCCAGCTATACCAATTTTGGGTATATACACAAAGGATGTACAATCATAGCACAAGGATACTTGCTCAATTATGTTCATAGCAGTATTATTTGTAATAACCAGAATTTGGAAACATCCTAGATGCCCTTCAACTGAAGAATGAATAAGGAAAATATGGTACATTCGCACAATGGAGTACTACTCTACTCAGTTGTAAAAAAAAAATGACCCCATGAAATTTGCAAGCAAATATATGGATCTAGAAAAAAATTACTCTGAGTGAGGTAATCCAGACCTAGAAAGACAAACATGATATATACTCACTCATAGGTGGTTATTAGACATGAAGTAGAGGATAGCCAACCTGCAATCTATAGCCCCAGAGAGTCTAAATAACAATGAGGGCCCAAAGAGGAATTCATAGATTTTCCTGGGAAGGGGACATAGAAAAGATCTCCTGGGTAAACTAGGGGCAGAAGGCTAGGGGGACGGCAGGATGGTAACTAGTGGGAGCAGGATGGCCAGACTGGATGCAGGAGGTGGGTTGGTGGCAGGATGGAGGGGAAGAATAACCAAAGAGATGTCTTGATGGGGGCATTTTGGAGTTAGGGATAAACCTGGTGTCAGGGAAACCTCCAGGAAGCCACAAGGATGATCCCAACTAAGACACTTAGGAATAGTAGAGAGGGGGCCTGATCTAGCCATCTACTATAAACAGATTGGTGACTTCCCTAATTGTTATCAGAGATATTCTATCTGGTAACTGATGGAAACAGAGGCAGAGTTCTATGACAAGGCCTGTGTTGAGCTCCAAAAGTCTTGAGTAAGAAAGGGAAGAGGAATTATACAAGCCAGGGTTGCCATTATGGGGGAACTCACAGAGAGTTCACAAGAGAGCTCATGGACACTGGATCCACAGTTAGGGAGCCTGCATGGAACAGACCAAGGCCTTTTGCATGAGTGTGACAATTGTGTAGCTTGGTCCCTTAGTAACGCTGCTAACAGTGGGAGCAGGACCTCTCCCTGGTGCTTAGCTGGCTTTTGGTAACCTGGTTCGGCACACTGGATTACCTCACCGGACCTAGATTTAAGGGGAAAAGCTAGGTCCTGCCTCAACTTTACATGGATGCAGATGGAGGAGGGGGTAGGTTGGAAAGGGGAGAAGAGGAGGGAGGGGAAACTGGATGGTATGTAAAATAGTGAAAAAAGTTATTTAAATAAAACAAAGAAAGTGTGTGTGAACCCTTTAGTATTGATAGTTTTAAAATTAAATAACTTACTTTAGGAAAATAGATTCTTGATCTTATTTTGTCTATTCCTAGAGTCATAACTTTTGCTTCCTTAGAATAAGATATTAATTTCTTGAGCAAGTATGTACATTTTAAACTCTAGGGAAATGTATCTGTATCTAGAACATTTCAAGCAGCAAAAGGTATTCCTTATGGGAATTATGCACATATTGGTGCATGTAAGGGGCAATGTTAATATCTAACCTGCCCAGAAGCTTTTTTTTTTTAATACTTGGGAGACAATTCTAAGGGAGACATTCTTTCAGTGAGCAACAGCATCCTAATAAGGAAATGAGGTCTTCTTGCCTCTGCTCTCCTGCTACATCTCTGATGACCCTCTTTGCCTAAAACACCCTCAGTGGCTCCTTGGTTAGTGCAGATGCCTGCTGCAAGTTAGAATGAGATAGTACTCTCAAACATGGACTCTGATGAGGAAAAGCTTCACATAACCAGGAAGAGCTTCACATAACCGGGAGCAACTTCAAATTTTATAACAACTCTAGCACTGCTCTGCTTGGCTTAAAATGTCCCATAAAGGATAGAATAAGCAATAACTTGTTGGGTACCTTGTTGATGTTTAGCGATATACATTGACACAAGGTTTTCACCAAAATAAATTTAATTGTTCTTCTATGTCTTTCTGCAAACTTTAAGAAAGGAATGAGTAGTCATAGTGTGGTCCCCACATTAAGACGTCAAAGTGTTCCTGATAATTGGTCCCATCCTTTGCCACCTGCTGCTTTGCATTGCTTCATAATTCTCCGGGAAAATACCACAACATAAATTTATGTTCAGACACGTAAAAGGGAGGGTGAAGGGTGCACAGTGTGTTCCACTCCTTTGTCAAAAATTCCCACAATAGAAATTTTTCCCTAGCACTTCTTGACATACTGTTTTTGTGTGTTTCTCATAGTTTCTTTAGATGTTCCAAATTTTTACTGGAAAGGAGTCAAGGATGCAAACACAAATGATGAGCTTACATTTATGTTTCTCTGTAGATACATAAAAGAAGTAGACTCAATTTAAATATATCTTTGTATGGACACTTTCACAGCTGAAAGTCTAAGGACCTTCCCTTACAAACAGACTAGTTGGAAGCTTGGGAGAACAAAATAAATTAGGCATTTAGAAAGACTAGATTAGAAAAGAAAGGAAGAAAGGAAGAAAGAATGGCAAAAACCAAAGTTCAAAGTCAATCTATTGATAGTTTTTAAAGATTTCATAATTTTAATGTTACCTTTAAAAGGTGAATTGTAACATTTTGATTTACTATCTTACTTTCTGCTTTTATTTTTATCCCATAGCAGAGAGGTAATTAAAAGCCATATGGTTTTCATTATGAGAAATTATTTATGTAGGGATGTGTGTGCACTCACCCGATGACCCGGTGATGTCCATTGCCTTCAGATTTCTGCACTTGATCACTGTCAAAGTCATCCGCCCAGCGGTTGGCAGATAGCAAAGGGAAAACATGATTTCGCCCAGGTCTATGCTTTCCTAGATTGGCAATTGGTAATGTTAGCAATCTCAAACCACACACCATGAAAGCAAAACGAAAGGGAAGATAACTGAGAAAATTCACATTATTTGAATATTATAAAATTTTAAGTAATCTCATTGAGGATTCAGATACATTGTTACAAGTTGGTTCTTTCGTTTTTGTGAATGGAGTTAGTAAAAAGAACATATCCCAGCTGCTCACTTACCATTTGCAATTTAGCAGACTGCTGCTTCCACCCCCTGACCACCTTAGTCTTCAGTTTGTCACAAGGAACAAATGACAGCATGGTTTACTCAGAGGCTGAAGCCAAAACTAGTAGGTTCCTACTAGGAAGTGAGTCTTTGTTTCCTCTTACTCTGCGTCCAACCAAGTCAGAGCAGCTCTTCCCTAAACTACTGTCAAAACATGCCATCTATTACTGACTCTTCGGGGATCTATTATGACTGTTCAAACCACCGTCTCCCACCAGGATTGAATGACCTATAAAACTCATCTCCCATCCCGTAAGTTAAGCTTCACATAGCAAAGTGATCATTTATGAAATGAAAAGCAAATTTTACACACACACACACACACACACACACACACACACACAAACACGCACACACACAGCGGGGCATGACTACAAGCTCCAGTGTGCCTGGAAAGTTCTTGATTCGCAATCCTCTTAGCGTGATTGTGAAGAATTTCCTTTCTGTGTGTCTTCATTTAGACGGCACACTGAAAAGCCCTATACAGAACCCACGTTGATTGGATCCTCTCTGCTTCATCTCTAATGTACCAGCCCAGTCTTGTTATAAGCACTGTCGCCTCTTTCCCACAAATCAAGTGTTGCTTGCCTCTGCTTTTGAAGTGGCTGCTTGTTGAACTTAGCCATCTCTCATGTTCAGTTGTTTGCCTTCTTTTTCTTTTATTCCTGTCTCTGCCTCTGTGTCTGTCTCTCTCCTTGTGTGTGTTTCTCTGCATGTCTCTTGGCCCCTCACTTCTCTCTCTTCTTATTGCATGTGCCTTTGTATGTTTATGCATGTAGAGACCAGAGACGGATGTTAGGAATCATGCTCTATCGATCTGCTACTCTAGTCTTTAAGGCAAGGTCTCTCAATCAAACCCAGAGCTCACCAGCATGATAGAGCTGGTTTTGCAAGGCGGCTTTGCTAGGGAATCCTGTCCCTGCCTTCCAAAGCTGGGCATCACTGGTGAACCACTACACCCACCTGCTGTTTATGTGTATTCTGGGGATCAAGAGCTTAAACCAATAAGTTGTATCCTCAGCTCTCAGATGGATAATTATTCTGGATAAAACATTACACATGTTCCTAGCATTCTGATGGAGATTTATATGCTGTCACTACATAGATGGCAAACAGTGAAAACTGAGTGCACTATGAGAATTAAGGATTTTGCTTTAAGGGTGAATTAAAAGATTCAATGAAATTATTCCTAAAGAAAAAAATTGAAGTGGATTTAATTTGGAGAAAATAAATTTCTAACTTAATACTCAGGAGCACCGAAGTAGGTTCTTCAAAGTTCCTTGTTTCTTGGGGCTGGAAAGATGCCTTCTAAGCCTGGTAACCTGAGCTCAGTCATTTATTTTGTGTGTGGGCATGGTTACATGTATGACAAGGCGCATGGTTACATGTATGACAAGGCGCATGGTTACATGTATGACAAGGTGCATGGTTACATGTATGACAAGGTGCATGGTTACATGTATGACAAGGTGCATGGTGGAAGTCAGATGTCAGACTACAACTTGGAATGAAAAATAGAAAACCTTTTGGAAATCTTTATTTCTCTGAAGAATGTAATCAGAATTTGGATTGGCATAGCATTCAGTCTGTGTGTGGGTTGCATTGGTAGTAGAGCAACCTCCGTGGAACTGATTCTGGAATTAGTCTATGAGCTTTGGAGGGCTTCCCATCTCCTTGTGTCTTTTCTTTCTTTGATGTATTAAAGGTTAATTGCAAAGGTCTTTCCTTCCCTGGCTGTGTTTATTCTTTTGTCCCTTTTAAATAGGAGTGTTTCCTTGATATTTTTCTAGCATGTGGCTTACTGGTGTATAGGAGGGCTGTTGGCTTTTGTCTGTTAGCTTGTATTCTGCCACTTTCCTGAAAGGATTTCGCTTTCTAGGAGTCTTTGGGGTCTCTTATGTACAGAATCACAGCATCTGCAAACAGGAACTCTGAGCGTTCTTCCTGTGTATTTTTTCTCTTGTCTTACTGCTAATGAAGACTTAAGACTTTCAAGCACAATACTGAATAGGGGAGAGAGTGGACAGCCTTGTCTTGTTTTTGATTTTACTGGAAATGCTTGGATATTTTTCCCTATTTAGTATAATGGTGGCCACAGTTTGTGGAAACACAAAAGAATTCAGATAGTGAAAACAATTTTGAGCAAAACAAATAATTCAAGAGGTAAAATGATGCTGATTTTAAGTTATGCCATAAACCATATCAAGCAAAGTACTGGCACAAACACAGAGAGTGATCAATGAGGAGAATAAAGGACCCAGATAAAACCTCACAGCAACAGCCATGTGATGGCCACACACACAGTGGAAAAGAAGACAGCCTCTTAACTAATGGTGCTGAGAAAGACTGTATATGCACATATGGAAGAATAAAACAAAATCCCTATTTCTTATCCTGTATATAATCAAATCTAAACAGACTAAAGATCGTAAACTCTGAAACTGTTAGAGGGAGCAGCGGGGAAAACATTTTTAAGATATATGCATTGGGAGGATTTTGTGACTAGGAATCGAGTCTCTTGGGAAACAAAGCTAAAAGTGGACAAATGAGACCTTATCAAATTAAAAACCTTCAGCACAGAAGAGGACACAATTGAGTGAAGAGACGGCATGTCAAAATGGGAGAAATCTAAGCTGCTTGCATATCAGATGGAGGATTAATATCTAGAATATACAAAGAATGCAAAATTAAATGGATGGAACTAGAAAAAGAAAACCATCCCGAGTGAGTTAACCAGATGCAGAAAAATGAACATGGTATGTACCCACTCGTAGGTGAATACTAGCTGTGAAGCAAAGGACAAGGAGTTCATGACTCTAGAGAAACTAAGTAACAAGGAGAACCCTAAGAGAAACATACATAGATCCCCTGGGAAAGGGGAAATAGACAAGATCTCCTGGGAATGTTGGGACCCTGGGTCTAGGAGTGAGAAGGAATGTAGAAAGTTAGGAGGTGAGGAGAAGGGGAGGGGGAGGAGAACTAGAGGGAATGGGATGGTTGAGATGGGGGAAGTACAAAGACTGATAACAGGGAAAGAGATTTCTTGATTGAGGGAGCTGTCATGGAGCTAGTGAGAAATCTGGCACTAGAGAAATTCCCAGGAATCCACAAGAATGACCCCAGCTAAGACCTTAAGCAATAGTGAAGAGGGTGACCGAACTGGCCTTGCCCTGTAGTCAGATTGATGAATATCTTAAATGTCACCGTAGAACCTTCATCCAGCAACTAATGGAAGCAAATGCAGAGAACCACAGCAAAGGACTGGGCTGAGCTCCCAAAGTCTAGTCAAAGAGAGGGAGGAGTGAAAATATGAGCAAAGAGGTCAGGACCATGATGGGGATACCCACTGAAACAGCTTACCTGAGCTAGTGGAAGCCTACCAACTCTGGCCTGATAGTGAGGGAACCAGCATAGGACCAAACTAGGTCCTCTGAATGTGGGTTACAGTTGTATGGCTGGGGCAGACTGAGGGGCCACTGGCAGTGAGACCAGGATTTATCACTACTGCTTGTTCTGGCTTTTTGGAACCCATTCTCTCTGAATGTATACTTTGTTTAGCCTAGAGATGGGGTCCTGCCTTAAATCAATGTGCTAGACTTTGTTGACTTCCCATGGGAAGCCTTATCCTCTCTGAGTGGTTGGGAAGGGGGTGGTTTGGGGGTGAAATGGGGGGTGGGATGGGGATAGGATAAAGGAAAGGTGGAGGGAGTGGGAGGAGGAGAGGGAGTAGATACTAGATTTGGCAGGTAGAATGAGAAAAGATAGTTTTAAAAATAAAATAAAAAAGATCAGAAACAAGACAAGAATACATATCCTCTTCATTCCTACTCAATGAAGGGCTTGAAGTCTTATCTGGAACAACAAGACAGAAGGAGGAAATAAAAGTGATACAAATAAGAGAAACCAAAGTGCTCCCTTTTGCAGATGACATTTTATACATAAGAGACCCAACAGATTCTAGCTAAAGGCTCTGAAAACTAAAAACATATTTGCAGAAAAGGAAGAATATAAAATTAACAGAAATAAATCAGTAGACTCTCTTCAAATAAACGACAAATATATTGAAAAAGAAATTGGTGAAGCAATCTCATTCAAAATAGCCCCTAAAACAAGTCAGATGAGCTGTACTTGAGGTCAGATGAGGAAAGTAAAGGGTCCATGTGCTAGAGCTAAAAATATGGGTTAGCTAGGTTCTAAAAGCTAGTGGAAACAAGCCTAAGCTTTTAGAATTAATAATAAGTCTCTGTGTCATTGTTTGTGGACTGGCGGTCTAAAGAAAGTCCGATAAAAAACTTTCTACAACTTCTATAATACTTTAAGACACTGAAGAAAGAAATTGAGGAGGCATTAAGAGGTGGAAAATCCTCCCTTACTCATGGGTAGGAAGATTCAAAACAGTGAAAATGGTCATTCTATCAAAAGCAATCTATGTATTCAAAGAAATCACAATCCAGATCCCAGGGATATACTACACACACACACACACACACACACACACACCACACCTTAAAATATGTATGGGTGCAAAAATGACTGAGGAAAACTAAAGCAGTCATTTGCAAGTGTATTATTATTATTATTATGTATTATTATCATACCTGATTTTACGTTTTATGCACAGACTCGCAGTAATAAAAACGGAATGACACCAGCACTAAACCCCCCACATAGATCAATAAAATAGGATAGAGGAACCAGATGCATGTACAAATAATGACTACCAGATTTTTTTTGTAAAGTATCCA